CATTTCAAAACTACAGCCCTTTAAGAAGAATCTTGTCTGCCATCTGCTGGACACTTTTAGTTGTGCTCATATTTAGAGGTCCTATTTTGCAAATACTGCCTTCCTGAAATTTAGTATGCTTGTTTGTCTATGTGTCTATGGTGTATAATGATGTGATTGTGATGCTGTAATTCTGAGTGTTTTATGTGCTGCAGAACAGGAACCTGCTGTAAAACAGCAATTATGCTGAGTCGAGCTTGATTTTTAGTAATCTTTTCCTGCTGAATCAATAAATCAAATCAAATCAATACAAACCAGACACTAACTACTTTTGCTCAAATCGAACAAAAACCTTAAGGTTTTTCTCATCAATAACTACAGAGCAGAACTTGTCATAGTCATCCTTTTTTTCAAACACAAAAGAAAAATGTTCTGCTGGTGAGTTTTCATCTGGATCTCCATCCCAGGTGTTCAGGGCCTCAAGAGCTTCAGACTGTTCTTCTTTGTCCATGTCAAGGATCACAGGAAGTCTTGTCCTCAAACTTTGTTGTTCTGCACCAGTCAGCTGCAGCATGGCTGTCTTTAAGAAAAACGTTTTCCTGCATATAAAGAAAAATTTGTTAGGATATTTACTGTAGTATGTACATGAAATTAACTGCTAAATTACAACAGATATGCAAATTACCCTAATTTTTGAATAGAACATATTAGCTTTTACATTTTAAAAGCTGTCTTCAAAATGTGTTATTGTATGCCTGTGTCTTTTCATAAGTGAAAACCACATACATAATACATATAATAAAAATATATACAGTATATATTAAGTGCACATATCTGTTGTTGAAAATATTTTACCTTCTCTGTGGATTCGGCTTCTGTCACATCCTTATCTCTGAAAAAATAATTAAATCTAAAATTTTAACAATGAAATGACGCAGTAATGAACTACATCATGACTGTGGTTTACACATTACTTTTCACCCAAAAATGTTCTTTACCTGTCGTTCTCCTTCAAAGAGGTGCTTTTCAGAAGCAGCGTTTCTGCTTGGCAATGGTTATTCCTTTGCAACCACAGGATCGCAAACTATAAAAACAAATTTTAAGATCATGTGGTGAAGAGAAGCCGCCATGTCAGCATTTTTCTTGAAATAAACTCTCATGCAGATATTCCTGAAACAGATGGTTAACTGTCATTGTGTAGAAGTGTGAATCTTTGTGACTTAATGATTCAATTTGATTTTTTTATTTATTGTTTGTGAAAAAGGTATTCAATTATCTGAAATGAACATATGTAAATGAAGCTTTTCACTTCAGTATGTTAAACTCCTCAACGTACATGTAACAGTTAAACTGATTCTTTGTCATTTATTAGAGATAAACAGTTCGACTCTGCTGTGCGTCACGCCAGGTGAGATGCACCTCCCTGACTCCCACTAACCAGCAGTGATTTCTACTAAAAATATTTGGTTTGATTAAGGGACTAATTTGTCTTGATATTTGTGATATCATTAAATATTTGTGCACAAATATGACTGATTCAGTTTCAATTAAATAAATGTAACAGAGCACTCTGACAGTGTATAACGAAGGCTGACTGTCATGTGGAAAAGGAGTGACTAAAACTTAGGATAAATTTTACAGCTATATTTGTATTACTGTACACCAGTACACAACTACTGTACTTTACTCTGAGTTGTTTGTGCTGACTTTATTTGACTTCAGAGTGCAGGTATAAGGTTTTAATCTCTATCAGAACTGTTGCTGAGTTTTTAAAGTTATGTTTTAATTCTCCTCTGTCTCAGAGTTGACGGGACAGCTGACGGCATGTCATCAACTTCTGTTTTCAGACAAGTGGTCCACTCAAACATAGGTCAAGTTTAAAACAACTAACCTCATTCAGATGTTGCAGGTGTTCCCAAAATAATTCATTTATGCAGTTTGCCAGAATATATGAGTCTCATCCAACTGCAATTCAATTCACTCTAGCTGAAAATAACGAGGATATTTTTAAAATGAAGGGAGTAGAAAATTCAGATAACTACACAAAAAATAAGGGATAGAAGTAAAAAGTCAGTTGAAAAATTATTTTTCCAGTAAAACATAAATAACAAAATTTTTTTGCTTAAGTAAGTAAACCACAAATACTTATACTTAGTTACTTGACAGCTTATACAAAATATTTTATGATGGCATAATCACACTGTAATATAAGTCATCATTATCAATAGATTTAAAATAAAACAGACAAAATGTTCAAGACGCAGACAGAGCAGTCTGTTTCAGAACACTGCTTTTTAGTTCATGTCACTGCAGTGTTACAGGTTAACCAGCAGATGGCGCCATACTTTATCTTAAATGCTCGAAAACACCGAGACGTTTCAACACAATACTGTATTGATTCTGTGGTTCAGAAAGCTTCTGGGTCTCCATCACAAAAATTGTGGGACCTGCTGTAGCTCAGTGGTCTGTGGTGCAGTCTTACAATCTCAGAGTGCTGGTTTGAGCCCAGGTTGTGACAAGAGGAACCTAAAACCAAATCTTTCACTCAGTGTGGTTCCTCCTGCAGAGGGCAGCAGCTCAAAGACAATTTTATGTCGTGCTTAATCCGAAGTGCTTTATTGCAGTGGTTCCTAAACTTTTTATCTTCTGACCCACAAAATATTCATGGCAAAAACTTGTGACCCCAAGTATTACTGGTCTGAGTACACGAACTTCGTTAATAACCCTAAAAACACAGGATTTTTGACGATCTAAAGAGCTTGTACACAAATATAAATACTTATTTTTACTTATTTTGTGTTTTTGTAACAGTTATAGGGAAAATATTACATCAGCAATTATTTTATTACCCTTTAAATTGATTTCTGGATATTATCCAAGGTCCCAAGCCCAACTTTGGGAACCAAAGTGCAGTGGTTCCCAAACTTTTCAGCTTTTGACCCACAAAATAACAG